GAGGATTTTTGTTTTCTTGACATTGAGATGTAATCCATATCGAAGGCTGTGCTGTTTGATCTTCATCAGTAAACGTTTTAAGTCCTCTTCACTTTCAGCGATCAAGGTTGTATCATCTACATATCGCAGGTTGTTAATGAGTCTTCCTCCAATCCTGACGCCATGTTTTTCTTCATGGGACAATTCTCTTGGGGAAAATAAGCAGAAATACAATAAATAGGAACCAACCCGGTGCTGTTAAGTTGACTTGACTCATAGTGACCCCCGGCTCCGTGGGGTTACCAAAGGCTTATTTTTTTAGACAGTAGATTGCCAGACTTTTCTTCCAAGGCGTCTTTCCAAGGGTGAACTCAAACCTCCAATCTTTGAAACAGGCGCTGAGTATGTTGATCGATTTCACCACCTCCCAGATTCCACCATCAAATGACACATAGTTAAAAAAAGAAAAACTTAGCAATGGATATAAGTATGGTTATGTGATTTAAAAGACCCTCCAGAAAGGCCCTTCTGGGCTGGGTTTGTCTTTAGCCCTCTGCACTCAACCCAAGCCAGGCTCTGAGTTTGAATCTCACTACTTCCTGTGTGATGCTGCGCAAGTGGCTTAAGTTCTTTGTGCCTCCGTTTCCCACAGGAGGGATGTGAGGTTTGAGTGAGGTCATGTGTGGGTGTCATGGTGACGTAGCCCGGTATGTGGGGAATGGGGTTCAGAGAGGATGCTCACTCAGCGCCCCTCACACCTGCTGAGGAGAGAATGGAGGACCGCCAAATTCAGAGGCAAGGTCATGGCAGGCTGAGGCTCCGTGCTGCCCCAGACAGTGAGCAGCAGTGGAGCCGGGCTCAACCCCCTCCTAGCAACGTCAGGTCTCGGGGCAGAGAGAGCCATGGGGAGCCCTACACTTGAGGGTCATTCCGAGTTAATGCTTCCTGTCTGCCCTGAATGCCTGGCCCAGGGTGGGTCTCCTGTCCTCTGAGCCTCACTCTTTTCTCTGGACAATGGGAACAGCACAAGTGGAAACTGTGCTGGACCCAAGCCATGGTGTTTCCACTCACCTCATACGCACGTGAAAGCTGGACAGGAGGAAGGAGGACCGGAGAAGGACTGGTGGCTTTGAAGTATGGTGTTGGTGAGGATGATTGAATATACCGCTGACTGCCAGAAAAACAAACAAATCTGTGTTGAAAAGACAGTCAGGAGTCAGCACTGAAGACATGGGCTGAAGCCAACCACGTTCCATAGACTCCCATCCAGCTGGGAGAGAGAGAAGAGGAAGGCTGGTTGGTCCAAAGTGTGGTGAGACCTGTAGACACTTGAGCCCATGGACAAGGACATAGCCATGGAGGGCTAGAGCTGAGAGTGAAGCATCCAGCTGATATGAAGTGAGGGGAGATGCACAAGAACACCCCAACTTGCAGATAGTACCCATTTGACCTAGCCTTGATGGCTTGATAATCAGAACTCGACTAGAGGGAGATTTAAAAAAAAATTTTTTTTTAAATAAAAGAAATGGTAAATTTCTACAATTTTATGAACTTCACCTATACTCAAGGGCAAGTGGTTTAGTACCTCTAAATACCAAGAGAAGGAAGGAGTCTTCACATCAAGTATCAATGCTATCCCCTCTGTATACAGGGTACCTTAGACATTGGCTACCCAAAATGAGGGGGCGATAAAGGCTTGAAATGACTGGCTTACAAAGTTTCAAGAGGGAGTTAAGTTTAAGAGTGTGTGGGGCAAGATAGAGTCCCCAATGCATAGTTTCCATCTAGTCTAGACGTGTCTGGTGAAAAGAGATGGGGATAAAATTCCTATGATTCAATAGTGAGCTATTGTTATCATGACTAATTGTGACTGT